CAGCTTGAAGCAGAGCGAGCCGCTAAAGAGCTACACGAGAAGGAAGAGAAGTTGAAACAGGAACGAGATGCAATAATAGCTGCAGCTTTGAAGGAGGCAATGGCTGAGGTAGAGAAGATTCGTGAGCAAGCAAATCAGCGCTCGAAAGAGGATCATATCCAGCTGCTCAAACAGGTCTGTGTGTTCAATTTCTCACTGGAGTATCTGAATTCTTTGCCTAATAGGCAATCTCACTTCTTACTGGATTGCCTATGGACGAAATTCATCTTCATTTCCTTTCTGCTGATGAAGAGTTCTTTGCAAAACTAGAGAAGCGTCAGCAGGAGAAAGGAGCACCCTTAGAGCGATGTGATATTGACGAACATGGCCCCGGCTTCGTCTGGATTACAGAGACTGGGCTCCATCTTGGATTCAATATTGACAATCCGACTGAACTTATACTCGCTGTTCGTATAACGTGCGCTCTTCTTTTCTATTTGGTCTCTCAAGCTTACTCTATTGGCTTCTAGTCCATGGACAGATTTTCCTGTCGAAACTCGCCGTCATATTCAAGAGCCTCTCGAAACTCTCATGCGTCTTCCTGAGATTCAATACAAGATTCTCAATAATGCGGTAACTTCTCTTTTGATCTATATACTGATCTTATCGTTTTGAAGGCAGCACATAAGCATGGAGGCACGGACGAAAAACTGAAGATTTATGGCCACATGTTCGCAGCAGGCTGGCATAACGCACAAGATCCCAAGACAACTCTAGGGTCATATGCTCATCGGAAAATGCTAACTGAAGCAGCAGCTTCTCACGTTGAAGGACTGTGAGTCCTAAAATCATGTGCACAAACATCACTAACGATAAATAGTGCGGAGAAGGTTGTTGACGCATATCCCTTGATTGCAGCACTATACTACCAGCGTCTTTGTATGATCCATCCCGGTGGACTCAATAAGCTTCAAGAATTTGCTGATGCGTACGTTCTCTCATAATTCAATATACATTCTAATGTTCGATTCAGGAATGGAGTACTATCTTTTGCCGATAAACTCGATGGCGAATCTAAGCAACAACCTTTTGCCAACTCTCTGACTCTCACCATCAAGGAATTCGCAAACTACCAACATATGGACAAAGATGCAATCGAGATTGCATTTGGACTGTGGTGGGAAGGTATTGAGCGTATTGTAGATGGGAGGAAGCGGTGGTGTTTCCCAACGGCAGAGGAGGGCGATCACGAGAAGACACAAGGTGGTGAATTTGTTTGGGGCAAGTTCAAGATTGGAGTTGATTTTGCTCGGTATTTTTTCTTTTGCTTTTGACTGGTTGTACTAATTATGATATAGGGCTAATGGACTTACTGAGCTATACTGGCGAGGCAAGATTGACCATCATGGAACCCTTCAGAGCAAGGACACCAAAGGCTTCACACGATTTGGTACATCCGTGCAAGTCACAACAAAAGGTGTACAGGCCATGCGGAAAATGTGGACTCCTGAGGAACTTGCGGCATCGAACCACGATATTGCAAATCTCATGACTGCCGCACGGATTATTACTCCCAATGACCGCCTCGAATCACTCGTACGTATTTGACTACTTTGGATGTAATATATTCTCAAGTTTTTTTAGGCTGCTCATACCGCCAAACGTAGAGCAGAGAAGTAAGCATTGTACTTGTTATGAATTGCCATAAAGTATTACTTGTATTGTGAAAATAAAAGTAAATATAAGTAATACTGTTGCGTTCAGAATTGTAAATTACTCCAATGCAGTGAAGGGAGTTAGGCCAAAATCTTCACAAAATTCGTTGCATTTATGCTCTTCGGGGAATGCGAGAAAACTGGAGTGAATGTTCCCTTCAGCAAAAATATGTCCAAGAGAACTATGTTTCTATCAGCAATCGTTGAGTAAGGTGAGAGCAGAGATACGGATGTGGTCGGAAGATCATTGGGTTCAAGGGAGCTCGTCTATCATAAAATTAGAGCACAACAATTATTTTATTATTCAACAGATAACTTACCTCTGTCATTGGTTCCTGATGAGATTCGTGGATATCCTCCTCCTCTTCATCATTCATCGTAATCTCATTCCGGCTCTTCCATTGCGTAAACTTACGGAACCACACTGGCTTTACAAGCAAGAGAACTTGAGCAGGGGCCGCGTTGGGCTTGAATCGACCACGTGTTCCATCCTTGTTAAGTTGAAAGTAGTTTCTCGCAATGACACCACTTTCTGTCAAGCCGAGAGGTGCTCGATTTTTGTCGCAAATAGTGATGTCGGTATCGTCCAGGGGGAAGACAGTTTGGCTTCTAAAAAGTTCACATCTCTTACTCACCTCACACTATACTTTTCACAATCAAGCTGAAGTTCCTTGACCATATCCAGCTCAATCTCCTTTGCAATCTGAACGTCATTCCAGTTGCATAGCCAGTAGTACTCGACTTTCTTATGGAACCAGTCTTCTGGGGCTAAACAGGCTAAGAACAATATATTGAGGGTGGTCCACATACGTAGCTTGGTTTTGGGCATCTTCGTACACAAGTGTTACAGGCTAAGATGTAGGTAGCTGGGGTCCCTGATCACACCGCATCAATGTTCCGACGTCAAAATTTTGATAGTCCAGAGGCTGTTGCCATAGACATATATATTTTTAGACACCCTACATACCTGTGCATATGGCATATATCCTGTTATTCCAATCTTCCAATAACTCACTCAGAGATAAGGGATCCCCAATGACATAAAGGTAGGAAGCATACAGAGGGGTCCCCCTGGAGGATGTCATGCCTCTCATTATGCCTTATGCATGAAATCTCTTGTTATTTGCTATTATACATATTACTCCTATGACGCAAGATATTGAAAATACAGCCATGATCTGCTGGTTGATTATGGATCAAAATGTGTTAAGTTCAGTTAATGAGGTATATATAGATACCCACATACTCTGATTGGTCTCTATATAGCCTTAGAGGATGAATTGAGGTGAACATTCCAAGACAGGTTGCGTGTAGAACTGGTTTACATGAATAATGGGGTCTATAGACTAAGTACTGGACATTGAGATGCATGTATGGGGGTGTTTGGATATGTACTAGGACCCTATACTGTAATTAGTTGTAGGTCTGGTATGTGTCATTAGAGGTAGCTGAAGACAGGGTAGGTACCCATAGAGCAAAAGAGAGTGTCTTCGCTATTACAACTGGTCAAAAAATAATTTCAAGTATGACACAATACCTAGACTGGGGATTGTATATACCTTCAAATGAACCTGTTCAGCACTTGAATCAACCTTATAGCTATCCTGGATCTCTCACAGTACCATTATCAGTGTTATCTATCCCAAAAATGATGGGTGTACCATGACATGGCCTTTGTGAGTCTGAGAAATCTGAGCATACCTACTAATAGGGGTTTAGTCCACCTCCCAAAAAGTGGTGACCCTGGCTCTCTAGCATATGTCCATCCTGGGTTATATAGCACCAAGTGTTTCCAGGAATGGACTGACCCTAACACTTGCTGTGTGATCACCAATGAGTAGGACTATAGGAGACCATCCTGTGGACCTATATCAACTTGGATCACAAGATTCCATGCAGTAGGTCCCAAGATATCAGCAAAATTCTCCTTAACTCAGTATTCAATCATGCTTGGCAGTTAATATGTTGATCTGATAGTATCAGATGAGATAACGAGATACACAAGATAATGGTAGGATCGTATACCTTTCAAATGAGCATCTTCCCGGCTTTATCCACCCTAACCAGCAAGAGATCTACTGTAGCATTCTGTCAGAGTGAAACATAACGCGTAACGGGCGCTCTGTTTCGGCGCTGAACCTATCCAAATAAGGCAATTTCCGCCCACAGCCACTCCCAAAAAGGGAATTTCCGCGCATAATCCTGGCTGTTTCAGTGTTTCAGGCCTGTAACGGTCCTCCAAGTGTTTCACTCTGACAGAACGCTACAGTATAGATATCTTTAGCAGTTGATGGAGATCAAATACCCCTGATGAGTGGTTTCAGGGGATTTTCACAGTAATATTGACTTCAGACTGAAGATGGACATGCTAGAGCCTTGATTTGAAATCTCTAGATATATAGATCATCTACCTCATAATGTCGGAGTACCAAAGATTTCCTTTGCTATGACTGAATAGTCACTACAATGATCATATGATATGATGAGGATCAAATACCATAGTTCACTCATCATACTCTCAAGGATGTTCCTGACAGCACTTATATCATAAGAGAGAGGCTTATTAGTTCGACATCAGCTGATAATTGATATAACTATTCAGCTGTTGCTATGGGTTACTTCATGGAAGTTGTTTATATAGTCAAAGTATGCAACTTTGATTTTGTGACAATCTGTGACATTCTCTGATAATTTCCTTCTTTGGTCATTTGTCATACCTATCACTCTATATATATTACAGTTATCATAATAGTTTCATTTTTATAAGATATGTAACTACCAGTCACTTTTGAGCTACTTACCCGGAAAATTTCCTTCTTGGGGTGGATGTTACTCATGTTACACAGAGTGATAAACGTGACAAATGCACGATTTTGTCACACTTGGACTTAGACCTAGATACTAGGAGAATTATAGCAGTTATAGCAGCATAGGATAGGACTTGGTAGCATAGAGAGAGACTTAGAGCCTATGCTGTAGCAAGATATTTGAGAATTATTGCAGCATAGCTATTTTGCAGTCATCTCTTCTAATTAGAATTGAGACCCCAGCGTAGCCTCACTTCTAATTAGAAGAGATATGTGGGATTAACAGGTGCCAAACTTGTCCACTATCTGCGTTGATCGGTAAGTAGGTAAGCAAATATGAAACAAACAAACGAGGGCCAGGTGTATGCGGATCTTGTGATCCATGGCCATGCAAAGGGGAGTGTATATGCTAAGAAAGCGCGTAGCTGCCGCGACATAAGCAATCGTCAAGCGGCGTGGCGCTGGAGCCAACAGGCCAAGTCGAAGTAAGCGAAAGGCACTACTCATATTCGCGCGGATCGCAGGTTGCGAGAAACTTGACGCCAAGGGGCGTCTTTACGCCGCCGTGGTGGCGGAGGGTCATAGGGATGGGAAACGCGCGGGTAATGTCGCTGAATTTGCCCTTCTGTTGGGGGACAACCTCCACGGACACGTGCTGCTGCAGAGGCGTGGGGGGCGAGAACGAGCCGAGCGACGAGCCTGGTGAACTCGGGGCAAGGTCGGGAAGGGGAGGGGATGAGGCGTGGCGGGCGTGTGTGCGGACGAAGGAAGTGGGAGTGAATTTGGAGGGGAAGGCGATGGCCATAAGCGCGGAGTGGTGCGCAAGGAGGTCGGATTCTTTAATGGAAAGCTCCCAGTTGAGCACCTCGAGGAATTCGCGCTCGATCCGGCCCACATCCCGCTTCCCGAAGACGCCCGTGCAAAGCGCCCAATGGATGTTCTTCAACGTCGAGTCATTTGTGTACTTGGAGGCGACAATAAGCGCGCCGAGGAAGACGCGGCTCCAACGCCCACTCTTCAAGCGCGATGGACAGATGGGGATGGGTGCGGGCGATGTAGATGAGGGAAGTTAGGACAGTGGCGGGCGTTACTTCGGCGCGAGTGAGGACATTGTGCACAAAGGTGGTGAACGAGGAGAGGTAGCACGACGGGTTGCGGCCCCTCGGTGTCGAGGCACGGCCCACGGCGAAGTCGACGGTCTCAACAACACTCTCAATGAGGTATTCTGAAAGAAAAATAAGTCTCAAAGAGAAAGGGCAGGCAAGCGGCGACGCACCGACGACCGGCTTTGTGAGGCGTATATCAACGAGCTCCATCATCGCAGGCGAGTGGGTGGCGGGGTCCACGAGGGACGCAGCGTGTATTGGCGACAAGGGCATTTGCGTTGGCGGTGGGCGGAAAGTGGGTCGGACGGAGCCCAGCCCGCAGCCCCTTATATACCACCGCCATGATATTGTGGAAGGAAAATTGCCGTGGCATTAGTCAATCCCGAAAGCGGATGACTCGCACGAGCCGGCTCAGATCAGTTGCCCGATTTGGACCGGCTCGATCGAGGCGCGGGTGGGTCAGCACGCGGACGTAAGCAGCCGACGACAATTTAGCTGGTTGCGGATCAAAATCCCGCCCTCGTCATCACGCACACGCACCGCCACGTCACTGTTCTGTCCTTACCCCACGTCGACGTCGCTCCGAGTCCGCCCGCATTCTGGGGTGGTCGTAGATGGTGGGGCAAAGCTGTACCGAGTCGGCCACGAGTCGGCCAAGCCCATCGGGCGGCGCCGGGTGGAGTCGCGTCGAGAGGTGTGTCCCGCGACACACGGGAATTGCTCAATGGCAAACATCGTACATCGGATACTAGGCCAGCCAAAATCAAACAGCAACCCAACTGAATCTTCTGATAGTACTAGTCGCACTGCAGCTCTATCAAAGCTCTATCACAGGCGTCGCTGGCAGGTGCGGGCAATAATCCGCGCTCACTGCGATGGCAACGGCAGCAAGCCGCGGTTAATCGGCATACCATCACCGCATCACGCCGATCCTCAGCGACGTCATCCCGACTGGGAACAAGGGCACGGCGATTGCGCAAGTACAAGGACAGGGGGGCTGAGGGGGCGGGCGTATGTGTGTGATGCTTGCTGTGGGCACTCGTGGTGTCCGCCGTGCCATCTGTCCAGCTGGTGCCTCGAAACGCTTCCTAGGTACGCTGCGTGCGTCTTTATCTCAAGAGTATTAATATCAGGTTGTAGCCGATCGGCTTGACAACGATCCGAATGTCTATGATCAGACCCCTGTCCCCTGTTCGAGTTGTGCTCCCGCCAAGGGGGTATCAGAAAAAAAATAACGGAACATATGTTGGACTTTTTGTTTAAGCCCTTCCAGGGGACCCACCGACCGTGACTGTGATGTGACATTACCATATTAGGAAGGTAATTCACACAGTCATGTGTTCTGATAGCATCAAACTCAGTCAGTCCTCTGAATTTCCAAGAACATTAATAGAAATATAGACTTCTAGCTATATATATATCTTGTAGACAAAGTCCTGATATAGTCATTGTCTTACAAATCTCACTCCAGAGTACAGATATCCATCCCCATATGGTCTGATTTGTCACAATGTTCCATCTAATGATGAGATACTGAAAAATAACCACTTGTGAGATTGTTGATACTTAATTATGGATGTATAGTGCACCAAACAGTACTTGTAACCCATCTTAAGACAATTTTGACTTACCATTTCAGCCAAAAAAGTTTCTACCAAAAAAAATTTTTAAGGGTCCGGAGGGGGGACCGACCGACCATCCCGGTTGTCACTTTTTGACACGTGACACCCCCTTGGCTCCCGCCGTTGATTTTGCTCAACCTCATCATCGTGTTGATTTCCCATTGCAGCCTCAAATTCACGGACTCAAAAAAGAAAAAAAAAAACACCAAACCTCATATTGCGACAGGCGAGAATCGAACCTGGGCCGGCGGGGTTGAGCTACCGGTAGCTCAAGTGGAGGATGTGTGCGGTCGTGTATGTTATCGGGCTAGATCATGATCATCAGAAAATTAATCGAATGCCTCTCGGTGTCACGGACCACGGTCTGTTGCGCTCAAGATGGGGTCAACTTTGAACGGCCGGATTTCGGCGACTACGGGTGCTGTGGACGCCCATTGTCCCTTTAGCGTGCGCCAATTCAACTTACCCGCGAGCTGGCTCAGCTCGCCTCGTGGCTCCACAGCAGTGCGGCGTACGACCCGGCGAACAAAGGACAATGGGTACAGCTGCTACTTCCAGCAATCGACGTGATATCACAAAAAGTTAAGCGCATTGTTATGCAACATCACTAGCACACTCTCATCCGAAGACGATACCAGTGTTGTGGCGGCAGAAGCCGCCCTGGGAATCGTGCGCATGTCCGCGCGATGTGGCCCCGGATGCTGTTGGTACGTTGTTGAGACAGATTGGATGTGATTGGTGTGCTGAATGGTGTTTTTACAGCTGTGCCTGTGTTAGAGATGCTGGTTCTTCTGGCTAGTCTGGACTCTGGAGCTTCAACTTCAAGATTATGCGCGATCGGCTGGGGAGGATGCGCGGACCCAGCCTGCCAGGAACAGCAGCTGGTGGGCAGTTACATTCGTAGTTGCAAATTTTAGGCGAGGAACCAAAACCAGTCACGGTCGGACGATGTTCTGCTTCTTGGGCTCGCACTACCAAGCTGCCTAGGCTCTGTGTATGAGCATTGAGCGTACGGCACAGGCGGAAGAACCCCCGGTCGACCCGGGAACCGACACCGCGGGATTACCATATGACGTCTATCAGCTGCCAGTGGATTATTTTCATCCTTCAACTTGCCTTTTGTTGAAACTTGACGCTGCCGCAGTAATGCATAAGGTCCGTATAGTGTCATAATAAAGTCTGCCGAGTCTCATTTTCATCCTTTGACTTGCATTTTGTTCATAGTGACGTCGCTCAGCATCCCTTAATAATGTCCGCATTGAACGCGCCGCCTACAGAGTAGCTTATAAGTAGTTCGTGCATCTACTTGCCCGCCGCCTGCCTGAACCCCCCGCCCTCAAAAGCACACCGGCGCGTATAGCCTGCTGCGCACGAGCGAGTCCCTAACGGCGTCAAAAACCACTGCGGCACAGCTCGTCAGGCCCTAACAAACAGCAGCATAGAATACACACAGCGCATCGCATCGCCGTCCACCGCGCTGCATACATGCAGGTACTCGTCCGCGGCGCGGGTCCGGCGGGCCACGGCGCACACGGCGCGGTACCGCTGCGCAAGGTGGCGCAGCGCGCCGGCGGGCGTGTCCGGGCCGTCGTGGTCCGGGAAGTGCGCGCGGAAGGCGAAGGATGCGGGCGGGAGCGACGTGAAGAGGTCGGATTTGTTTAGCATGACGATCTGGACAGGGTGTGAGTAGAAAGAAGCGAATGGAAAAGAGGAAGACGCACGATGGGCACGTGCCGGAGGTGGTTATCGAGCAGGAGGTCCTGCAGTTGGCGCATATCGTGCACAAGCGCGTTCTAAGGTGGGACAACTTATCAGTCTTATTTGGACAAGGGATAGGCTCCGACACGCACCACGGACTCGCCGGTGTCTGCATCCCGCACCGTCCTACAATAGCTCATCAAATCCACAACCCACAGGATAGCATGGCACTCTTCCAGTTGCATGCGCCACTTGCGCGGCTGGCCAGCGCGCGCACGGAGCACCGTCAACCGCGCGTCGCGCATCAGCGCGCTGACGTACGTCTGCACGGGTGGGTGCGCCGTGGCGGGGGGCAGCCGGACGATGTCCGCTGCGGTCGGGAGATAATCAACGGCCGCGATGCGGGACACCGTGTCCTCCCGGAGGAAGTAGTCTGCAGGGTGGCCCGGGCCGGAGCCGGCGCTGGAGCGGAAGCCTGAGACGCCTGGCTGACTATATCGAGACGACACACCTTTCCGCCCGCAGCCGCGCAACATACTGCCTTATCTCCTCTGTCCATACCGCCCGCTGCTCGTCGTCGAGCGGGCTGTCAAGCAGCTCCGCCTGCCGCAGCAACGTCCCCTGCGAACGGCCTCAAGGCTCAGTAACTCACCCGCGCCATGTCCGCCATAAAGACACACCTTGCCCGCCCCGTCCGCGCCGAGCACAACCATCGTCCACACCAATCTCCGCGCCTTCTTCTCCGCCGCAATCTCCGCGTCCAGGCCCTCCGAATCTGCGCAGTGGGAGGCATGAGACGCGTTGCGACGGGCTGGTCAATGCTACCAGAAGGCGCTTCGCCAAGATATCTTGGCATCGCGATTGACGACGATCAGCACATTTTGATGTGTTCTGATTGGAGCCGACAGGGTGTCGCGGACAAGTGACCGCCACATAACGGTCGTCGAGGCGTCGCGGTCGCCGACATAGGACGGGGGGATAGCCTCCGCGGAGGGTCCCACGCCCGCCCACGCCACGCCCACGCCATCACGGGCGTGCACGCCCGTTGGCGCAGGCCCACGCCGTTTGGCCACGCCCACATGCGAAGTCTCGTACGCAGGATCGCCGCGCGCGCGCGCTCCCCCGTGCGCGCCCACGCCAGCCGGCTCTTGGACTTGGGCCGCTGCGGCATCGTCGTCGCTGGGCGCGGTGTGCGTGAGGGCGGGAGGAAAGAGACGCAGAAGGCGGTGCGTGGGAACGCTGATGGTCTCCCGCGGATCATGAATCATGATTGATACAACCCAACCTGAAATTCCTGAACCAGGGCTTGACCAGGGCCATTGACAGTTGTCACCCATATTGACGAGCATGGCCAAAAGATGTACGCGTTTATAAAACAAAACGTGCCCGAGATATGGTTATCCTTTCTTTCAAGTAGACAATTATTCACAAACTGATTTATCAGTTTTGCTTATACTGACCAAGAGTGACCAAACCAAAAGTGCCCTGATTTGTGACAACCACCACATCACTCATGCCACTGTCACACTCTCACGTCAAAGAGACTCTTGCTTTAAAATAATAGAATACTTATAAAAGAAAAGAGCTTGCCCAGAAAATATTTTGCATAGTATTCCCAAGGTATGGTGAACTAAAAGTCATATATGCATGTTCAAGATATATTATTTTATTGGTAATAATCCTAGTACTTGGGATAACTCATCACGTTGGGGTTTCAGTCTTTTTTTTCGTGCCAATGACCGGCCTCCCCACTGCGCTCAACACAGACATCATCGTCTAAGAATACCCCGGTTTCACTTCTCTCCATCAAAGCTTTCCTTCACAACTCAACCAGTTGACAAGGGTACCGTAGATCATCAGCTGGTAACACCAAGTCACACATGTCACTAGGGTAGGTCACTGGGGTGAAATTCCACTTTTTGGACTTGTGTCTGGGGAAGGTTCATGGACCTTCAGGAGGACCAGAAATGCACAGTTATATGTTTTGAGGACTTGTTGCCAAAGAATATGGAATATGTGAGGGCCTATATCCCAATCGGGAGAGTTTGGTGATAAGTATGAAGTATAGTGCTACATAATGACATGTAACCATGCCATTTACATTTTCTTCTTTCCTTCCCACAAGTATGGTATGTCTTAAATTCCAAAATTATCTATAGATTTTTTGTATGATAAAACACCTGTATAAATGATAGTTTTTGCTGCAAGGAAAATCGAGGAATAAAGCTGACATATTTCCAGCACATAAACTCATGGTAAAACTTATAGATGAATGCCACTACAAAGGAAAAAAACTAGAAATTTTGGATAAACCCAGACATTTATCTGTAAGAAAAATGTGGGGTTTTCCTACTGGATAAAATTTGTCATTCAAAAGACAAAGACAAGTTTATCTGTTGCTTTATCTGTCAGAAAGGTTTTTGCTACAGATCAATGCTAAGATATATGTGAGATTTATACCTAGTTTTTTCCTTTGTCAAAACCACAGCTCAAATTAGTGAATAAATATGGTATTTATCAGACAGTTTTACTTCCAGTTTTTCTAGTGGAAAAAGGACAGCTTTGTCCACAGATTTTCTTTGTGTCAAAAGCTATCATTTATATAGGCGTTACTGTAGTATTTTAATCAGTTCGTCAGTCACGCGTCACACAGGGCTCAAGCCGACGAAAATTTTTTGTCAGTCACGCATATCCGGCAGAAATTGGCCCCAAATTGGTCCATATATGGTAATTTTCCGTCCGATCCGGCGCCTCCGGCGCCGAAATTCCCTAATGGGGAAGGCCTGACGAAAGTTTAAGTTCGTCGCACATGTCACGCAGGTTGGCAGGTGACGAATTGATTAAAATAGTACAGTATATCACACAAAAAATAGTCATAAAAATCTGGAATTTACTCTTACCTTTATCTTATAACTTTTCTCGGAATTTCTAAATCAGCGCAGTGATTACGTCACACCGTGCGATGCCTCATTGCAATCAATTTATCAACAGTCTAGGTGACATCGTGTGACAAGGCTACGCGAAACCACCATGTCTAATATCGACCATTCCTCGGACACGATCTTTCCGCCGGAGCTCGAATGTGTGATCTTCAAGCTTGCGGCGGCGCAGGATCGGGGGAGCATACCGCGGCTGATGCTCGTCGCTTGGCGGGTGAAAGAATGGTGCGTGTCCCGTCCCACCCATGCCATCTCGAAGATGTTGAAGAGTAACCAGGATCGAGCCGCTGCTGTACCAGCCGCTCGTTTTCGATAGCCAAACGACCCGCGACAACAACCTTGGGCCCGCCTTCCCGTTCGAGCGGCTGCCCCAGCTTAGTCCCAATGCTGCGGCCGGCGTGAAAAGCAGCATGATCAGCATATTCCCTGCTGCGTCCGTCCTGGCCATCCTGGAGAAGCTGCCGTCCCTCGAAAATGTGTTCCTCTCCGTCGCGGAGAAGCTCTACACCGACGCCGAGCCTCTCCCTGCGGCATTCACGCGGCTGCGCTTCCGCCATCTGTACTGCGCGCTCGGGGACATCCTTTCCCTCCCGGCGCTGGACTCCCTCGCGTACAACTGCTTCGCGGGCCTCACGCACCTCGAGCTCTTCTCCGAGCCCCCCAGCTGGCGCGCGGCCACCGCGCCCTGGCCGGCGACCCGCAACTCGTGGGCGCTCATCGCCGCGCTGCCCCGCCTCACGCACTTTGCGCTGAACAACGTCTATCCCGGCAGTCTGGTCGCGTTCCTCCTGTCCGCGTGCGCGCGCCTCACGTGCCTCGTTATCCTCAGCGTCGCGGCGCGGGCCGGGCGGTACACGCCGGCCGTCGCGCATGACCCGCGGTTCGTGGTCATGCGCCCGGGCTTCGTCGGCGGCTACCTCCGGGACTGGGTCAGCGGGGCGCAGGGCGCGCCCGACTACTGGGCGCGCGCGGATGCCTTTATCGCGGGGCGCCGGGCGCGGCAGGGGACGGGCGGCGAAGGTCGGTCGCTTGCTCGTCGTCGACTTGGTTGTCGCTAATAGGTTCCAGCAGATGATACGTTCATTTATCCGGACGAGCCGGAGTCCGAGGCGTCTGACTCGGAGTGATACGACTGCAATGTCACGTAGACTTCAGGACTGCGCTGCAAGCCTGGGACTAGGTCCCACAGCGCGTAAGGAGTCAGGACTTTCTTTCAGCAGCGTTCCTATTATTTCGTTTGTGGGTCCGTACTGGCAGTCTTAGACTCTTAGTTTCTGCAGGCGGCGGGTATAAAAACCAGACCATAGAAAAACAGATGACGTCAGACTGCGTGACTCATCACACTTTCCCTCTTGTCCTCTCCTCCATCGCGCGCTTCTCTCTGACCACCCTGCTGCGGTCCAGACAACCTACTACTCCACAGTCGCAGGGCTCATCCTCCCAACAACACGCCCCGATGCGAAGGAGCAGGCCCACGGTGAGCGCGACACAGACCATCCTGGTGGCAGAGATACGCGCGGAAGATGTGCCGCAGCGGGTCTTTGAATGGTTCGTGAGCGAAAGGCGCGTGTTCTGTCGGGCGTATGCGACGCTGTAAGTGCTCATTGCGCGTTGGCAGGTCCCCCGACCCCGAGCGGTTTTTGCGCGACGGTGGTCGGGCTGTCGCTCCCAATCTGCGATGGCCTCTACATGCCTCATATCCAAGAAAAGCGGCTTCGTCGACAGACGGGGGGCGTCGTGGCTCACAGTCCCTCTTTGCGGACCCTGGTCCCTGGTGCGTGTCGACACTGTCGATGTTTTCCCGTTGACGTGTCGTTGAGGAACACGCAGCGGGCCCTGTTTCTGCTGCTGCCTCGGGCGCTTTGGGAGAGAAAGAGAGAGGGATGTTGTGGAATGCGGATACGATCCGAATCATCCGATTCTGCGTGCGTGGCCTGCATTTCGTGCCGTTCAGTCCTCTGAGTCTGACATATTCGCTCTTTTGTAGGTGGCCGACAGCCTGGCTTTCAAGAAGGGTGCCGCTCTATACGCAGCTACCCCGCAGCACGGGCAGGCCAGCACTCGACAAACATGTCTCCGCTCCTCCTCAATGTCATCCATGAATTCTTCCCTCGCAGTTGGCTCGCTTGACCATGCTCATGTTTCGAAACATTCCTGTGTATGCACACCTTCCGCGACATCAATACCTGCGATGCCAAACGTTTCTAGAGGCAGCGCCCTCTCCGACGACGTTCTTCCTCCCCGTCTTTACGGCCGTCACACCGTCACAGTCACGCTGTCAGCGACGCTTTCGCTGTGCTTCCCCTGCGCACATATCGACTATATCCCATGATGCAATGGACACTATACATTGCCTCTAATTCTTTACAGACGATGAAGTGGGTGGGAACACCGTCGTTGGCGATCTTTTCTCTGACATCGCACATGGGTCTATGAACGACATTGTCTCCATTTTGCGAGCGATAGGGAGCTAATAAACGCTCTCTCGATGTGCTCCAACACCTCCTTCTGCTGTTTTCAATGCTGCTGGACCCATTTGGGTGGTATTTCGGGTGGGCGGTCTTTATGGGCCCCTGTCACCGTACTAGTATTCAGACCAACTCTCATTCGCATATGCAACGCTCGGGCCAGCTACTTTGCCACCTCTCTTGAGCGATCTGGAAACAGCCCTCCGATGCTTTCGACGCCTGCGAAGAGTCCGTTGTCAACAAAAAAACCCTTATCTTCGAAAACGCCCTCGTCGATGTAACATGTTTTGTCCCAACGCTGAGTGAGGTCAAAATAACTTTGGCGTCCTACGAGCGATATGACAAAATACACTCTTGACGTGCCCAATTCTTTCCGCGATTTTCTTACCCTGGGCCGAGTTGATTCCACCACATGTCTTTCAAGCTTACTGTTACACTATACTACGTGCTCCCTTGTTTTGGTGGCTTCATTGGCGGCACCATCTCATTCAAACTTTGACAAATTTGACTGCTTCCGTCTTTTTCATTTGTATTGGGTAAATTCAGGGGCAGATGCAGTTGGAGTCAGAAGCATGATGATGTAAGCGATCACTCCTTGCTCTGCCCCTCATGTCTGAATCTCCTCCAGCGTCGCAGGTTTACCAAGTGGCCTTGATCCCATGCATGGCCTTCCTTGCCGGTGTCAATGCACTCTTCTTCGTTGTTGGCAAGGGCTTGCTCGCTGGCGGTTTCGCATCCGATGTTGGCGACCCGAAGATGTTCTCTGGCGCTGCGGCATTCGTGTTGGTCCCGGCGTACAGCATCTGTCTGATTGCTTGTGGCGTGGTGGTGGGATACAAGGCTACAGTTCACGTTGCGATGGAGTCGGAAAACATGGTTGGCTTGAGGGACAAGTGTATGCTTGTCGTCGCTGAGCCCGACGCCGGCGCTCTCACGCTTGCTGGGTTCGGGAACGAGAAGGGAGAGCTTGGTCATACTCCAGTCAACCCACGGCAATCCGTCGAACCCAGCGTGCCTGGCCTCCAGGGCGAGGATGCCGCTGCGAGGGACACATCCGCTCCTGACTCCAAAGTCAATGGAGAGCCTGAGACCGCGATGGACGACGACTCGACAACGGCGACCATGGTCTTCGCGTGCATCGACTGCCCGTTCAGCTTTCCAAAGCTCACAATGCTGCACGAGCACCTCGAGGTCGCCCACTACCGGTTTCCTATGGACGCTCCGTCTGGTTGTGCAGCAGAAATGCGCGAGTGAGTCCCGGTCGGGCGTCGTACTTGTCCTTATGCATCTGATTCGTGTATGATTCAGGGATCGCGAGAAGCATTGGCGGAAGATTCGGACGGGCCACATGGAATCGTACTACGGCGCTGGAGGGCCGCCTGTACCGTCCAGCAGCGCGCAGGCGGCACCAGGTGTGGCGGAGTTTTTCGCTCGCATGGACGAGTGGTGTTCGCAGGATTATTACGGTGACCCCCCGTATAACCTGGGCGGATTTTACTGCCCGAGCAACTCGGACTCAGATGAACTCGCACTTAGAATGGGATATTCAATCGGAAGTGGACTTAAGTAAATATTTCCAAATGAAACTGTAAATCATCCTTTACAAGTTTGCAGTCGGACTTTTGCAAGTTCTTTCAATGAATTGATCCAATTGAAGATACATCTCACTACTTATCATCAATGGCCAATAAGCTCTCTGTTCACGATTTTATTGTTGTCTACCGATAAGACATAAAAGTTGTACATGTGCGGTGTTTAAGCATGATGTCCACTTCGACTGTACTTAATAGCTCGTAATGTGAGGTCTACTAGGATGTTGGCAGACAACTATCATTGCCACAAACAGGAACTACCATATCCCAAGTAACCGTCTGTCCTCCATATCCAGCGCCTTGAGAGGCTCCCGGTCCGAGGTCCAGCGCAAATGTTTACTATAGTATCGATCTGGGACACAGTGCACCGCCGACGGCACGGCCTTCAGATCTTCGAGGTCCCCGATGCGGGGCCGCGGCTGTTCACATGACCAGGAGAGGCGCATTCTTGCATCGGTGCGAAGCGCAGCCCACTGCGGCAGCAGGGCCGCCTCTGCGCGGCTGCGGGACCCGAATTCACGCCAGTAGCCTGGCAGTGCGCGGATGTGGCACTCGAATGGTGCAAGCTTAAGCGGGGGAGGCTGGGCATGTTGTCGTGAAGCGAGGAACGTGAGGAAGGTCGCATCGTTGAACCGGAGCATGGAGTGCAGGAATACCTGCGACAAGCGAGGGAGCAGTGTCGTGTTGGTGAGTGCCGAAAAGAGTTGATTGGTCACGACATGGACGGGGTATGGACGCACAGGATGGTCGGAGATGCACAAGCGCTCCAGCACATCCAGGCCAGAAACGAGCTCAAGCAGTTCCTCGAGGGCTACGTGTGTGTCGCGGACGTCCAGTACCCGCAGCGTATTCCGTGAGTGGGAACGAACAGCCATGCCGAGCAGCGCGTGGTGTGGCCAGGGGAAGGCCAGCGGATGGTGGCTCTCTGTCCATGTCTTCCCGTGCCGCACGGTAATATGACTCTGCGATGTGGTGGAGATGAGGGACAGTTCCGAAAGATTAGGCAGCCGCATGATGGAGAAAATGTGCTGAAAAACGCCCATAGCTTCTGAAGCGTCGTAGTTCCCAACCCCACACGTGAATCGTCGGATGGCGCATTCGACGGGAGGGAGTGTATCGAGGTCCATTAGCAGCGCATCGCCCGGAAGAGTGCAATAATATTCGAGTTTGAAGTCGACCGATTGCGGGATGCTTGGCATGAATCGGACAGCGGCCGCAACGGTTGTGCGATTGGCGGTGTATACCAGAATTGCAAGTGAGTCAAGGACAGTGGTGGGGATGATGGGAAGGAGATGTCCAGAAACCGAAAGGAACCGCAATGAGGTGGCGCTAGCGAGAAATTGGAGAGCGGTTGGCGGGAAGGGATGGGGATAGCATGGGAGTCGCAAGCGCTCGAGCGATGACAGACGGCCAGTCGCAATGGAAGCAAATTCCTCGAGTCGTCCAATATTCAAACGTCCCATATGCGCGCTTTTCCATCGTGGCATCGTCGACGCGACCGCCTCAAGTGATTCTTGGCTGACAGATGTGAAGTAGACTTCGAGGGGTGCTTGACCGGAAAGCTCCAGGAACATCCCATTCAGTTTTCGGTCTCGGCTGCTGTACATGGAAGTGGACTCGTAGTTGATGTATTCAACGGAGCCGTCCAAAGGGACACAGCTCCAAATCTGCGGTGATGTCCGAATGACATGGCGCCAGTACGTGCAGACGCGGGAAAGCCTGCGGTAGTCGTCAAACAACTGGTCGCTTCGGCGCCGGTCATAATTCACAAGCTTCTGACGGTTCCATCCGCCCTCCGGAAATCGCAGGCAGAGGCGGAATATCTCGACAAGTAGCTCCCGGTGTAGGCGCCAGAGCGGGACTGACAGCGCCCGGTAAGCTTTGTAGTGGTAGTGCAGACCCCTTGTGTGGTGACCAGCTAACACGTAGACCGCCCTCCTGTCCGCCTCCGCAAGCCAGTGGAGAGCAGCGGCATGAGTTGACGAAAAGTCCTCCGCGACACCGTGTTGAGACGCAACACCACCCCGCAAGAGTGCCAGGATGGTAGTGAGCGGCGGGAGCATCGGGAGCTCGGCCATGGTGGTAAGTCGAAAGAATGTTGATATTGATGCACGTGATGATTGGCACGGCTCTGGGCGGTGATGACGATGGAGCGACTTTCCCATCCGGCACCGTACTGTACCAGCCTCCATCCCCTTTTAGAGAGGTCACGACACTCAAGACACCGAACTCGCTGTAGCCTGCATGGCTGTATCCGGCTGTACTACGGCTGTACGTGACTACGGCTACTACGGTCTATCCGAGTCAACGGTCTATTGCAACAGTCCACATTCAATCAACTTCGCGTCAACCGAGCACTGCCGAGTCACGACGCCAATTAATATTCTGTCACCGTGGTTGACTTGGTGTCGAATAGGATCGGCGCTCAGCGGTGGTTATAGCATTTACATTGGGTTAACAAGAAGATTCGCGACATTTCCAATGACATTTCCAATTTCGCAAGACTTCCGTTATGATTTCTCATATTCAAGTTTGCGACAAGGGGGTATCAGAAAAAAAAAAATAACGGAACATACGTTGGACTTTTTGTTTAAGCCCTTCCAGGGGACCCACCGACCGTGGTTTGCGAGTCATTTTGGAGCAATTTCCGAAAAAAAGCTCAAGGAGGATTTTCGCGAGCCTTGTGCAGATATTGTGAGTCTCTTCAGTGAAGGGTGATTTTTTTGTGCAGCTTAATTAATTGTTTGAAGAGTACCTTAGGGTGTAAGAGGTGTCAAAATCAATGTAAGAAAGCTGTTTCCAATTTAGTTATAGGTATAATACAGTATTTCTTGACGGATTCGGCTGTAACTAACAAGAATAATACATAACTATGAGTGCTACCATTATAAGATATTGGTAGTCAAAAAATATGTATTCTCAAATTTCTGTAGTATTCATCAATGATTGTCTTTTTTAGAGAAGTATATATGTGTTCTAGGTCTACTGTGAACACTGCCAAGGATGACCCAGATAATAAAGCAATGTGCTTCATAACCAGTCCTGGGTACAGAAATTGGAGGATTTCAGGCGTTAGTATTATTAGACTGTCAGTGTCAGGGGAACCCCCCCTTTCGGCCCCCCCGGAGACAGGTCCGATTCCGGTCCGATTCCAATGGCGTCTCCGGTCCGGCCCTCCATCTCGCCTGCACAATCACCAATCTGTCAACGCCCTCCTAACGGTCACCCTGGGATCTTGCCTGCGACACCACCCAAGCCTTCTGTGCCCGACATTGGCAGCTACGGACAAGCAGTATATAGTCAGCTACCTAGCAGGCGGACCCTTAGAGTTTCTTCTCTTTGGATGCTCCCCTGCTTAGGCAATGGCACGGGTAGGCCATACCCGCGCGGGTACGCGGGCCCTGCTAGGTCAGCTTCATTTGTATTCACTTACCAATGTTCACGCTTTGGATCCTCCCCTGCTAGGACCTTGATGAGTCCGCCCCCCCTTCTCACTGCCCCTGTAGTGGAATGAGTTAACAACTTTTATTTGTGAGTTAACAATGTTTTATTCATAACTCTCTAACGGTTACATATTTTATAAGCCACTTGTACCTTGAGTAATTTCTATTGATTGTGAAACTTTTCTCTTTTTTGATCGGAAAAAGTCGGGGGGCAGGTCGGGGGTGGCGGCATCGCATCGGGCAGATGGCAGGAGGGCGCGGATGTCAGGTGATGGCGATGATATTACCAATGTGTAGATATCATCAAACACTATAGATTATCAGTTCATTTGATGGATTTTGATGAATATTTGCGCTTACCATGGTTGTCATTGTTGAGGACGATGTCGGAAGGTTGTTGACAGCAGCAGGAGCTAGCAGGGCCGATGGGAGGACATCCCCAACCTGATGACAGTAGGTGACGATTGTCCGTGATGAGAATCACATGATGGTCACCGTTGTGACCAGGTCACAATGGGGACGACAACGACAATGGTGGGATGGCGAGGGCGCCGCGGAGGCAGGGGCACCGGGATGGCCAGTGCCTCTAACACCATGAAGAAGGGCGGCGGTCGTCAGAGGTAGCAGGGGTGCCCGTGCCGAGCTCAACCTTCTCTAGTTAGAGGCAGAGAGGACCCTAGTCTCTGCCTCTAATTAGAGGGGACATGGGTAAGCTATAGGTGGACTGTTAATTGAAATAGTAGTAAGTAGAGTGATATGGTATATGTAGTCCTGGATGAATTTGATATACTTGCCACATGTACAGGAAATTTTCAAAGCATAAGACACATGATAAAGTATCAGAGTAACCTCTATTCAGGTCTCTCTAACTCCAGCTGGGCACCTTCAAAACATAGTCAGGAGCATTCCCCATTATATCGGTACCATATTAAATTGGGATTATATTATATTTATATCATATTATATCTCGAACCTTTTTATCTTCTCATTATGACATGAAAATTAGTGAAATTTTCCATATTCATTCTAATTAAGACTGGTCACTTTAAACAGCTCCATGTACTAAATGTAGCTCATATGTTGTTTCAACAGCAGCATATCTAAATCTGGAAGTGTGGAGCAAATGAATAGCTGAAGCCCATGCCAAACATATACACAATATATGCTTGATATAAGTGATTGGCTAATATCATGGGTTAATATCGTGATTAAGTTTTTTCCCTCATCTAGATCAAGACAGTGTAGGTGAATTTGGTCCACCATGACTCCTCCACTGGTTATGTAGCCTACGTGAAATCACCAAGCTATAAATTAACCTCCAAAATACTTTGAAAATATAGTCTGATCACTGTTGTATCAATGTTTTAGTATATTTTCAGAGTGAAAATAGATCCTGATATGTACCATAGCCTATAACATCATATCTATATTGTATTGTTCAAATTTACAGGCTATAATAAATTTGCGAAAATATCATCAAATCACCATTATCATAGCTCACCTACCAAATGCATTTTCCTATCCTCATATACTATTCAAAACATATCAACATGTCCAAAAATTATATATATATGTTTGCTAGGCTCCTATACATCTGTAATAAATTAAATACAGAGATCTACAACCATAGGAACAATCCTAGCTACTAGGACAAACCCAGCATATAGTATTTTGTGATGTGACCTACTATAGGCAGAACCTAGCAGTGTTGTAGATAAGGGCCTTAATAAGTGTTCGGCTCCGAGGTCCACCCTTATTAGGGATAAGGGTCCTTATTAAGGGTACCAGAAATAAGGGCTTAATAAGGGAATTTCCTTTTTGGGAATGATTTTTTTGAAGCCTATTTACCCAGTGTAGTCGTCACCAGAGCCCTCCAACTCGCCCGCATCCGGCTCCTCCTCGCTGTGCTCCGCTGCCAACAACTCCATCAACCGCCCCTCATCCGTAAAAGCATCCTCCTTGCGCTTGGGCATTCGAGCGGGGTTTACCTTGTTCTGCGTGAACAAGCTCTTGAGTGAGGCGGGTAGGAACGGGCGCACTCGACGTCTCGACCGAGACGTCGATGGAGGGAGATCATCCTCGTCGGAGGAGTCGTCTGGCTCTGAAATGTCATCCAAATCCCGCTGTCCCGCCTGCCATTTCGCAAGCTCCTTGCGCCAACCTGCCTTGCTGGTGACAAGAACGGACTGCCGCTGGCCGTTTTCGTCGTCGGTGTCACTGAGGTTTGCGTCGGCATAACGGGGTAGAGCATGCAGGGTTTTGATGGAGTCGTCGGTGTGGTTCTT